AAACATATACATGCACAAAACATAGCTATAGATTCTAAAGCTGAAAATCATCTGGAAACTGTTGAAAATATCAACTATTAGAAACAAAACATTTTACAAGTAGTGCACTATTGAATAATATTGAATAAGTCTATGGCCATACCATCCTGAACATGCCTGACCTCATCTAGATAGTATTGAATATTTTACAAGTACAAATTCCTTTCATTACCATGTGCCTGGACTTTCTTTCCAAAGGCATCATTCTTGCTTGATAGAGAAAGCAGGCATTAGAAAGATCAATGAATTATTTCCCATCAATTATTTTCCCTACATCTGTTGAAAAGTTAATGGATAATTTTCATTCTAATTATATTAAACACACACACACACAGAGATTTAGGCATTTGTGAAAATTGTTGGATTCTTGTAGATTATGGTGATACTTGGGCAGCGGAATACAGTACTTCCAAAAGATCAACAGTAAGGTAAGCCAAAGTTATTTAAAAAAAAAAATTCTTCAGGTTATATCTCTATCTATTTTGGATTATCAGAAAAATAGAAAAGACTGCCATTCATTTTAAAAAAATTAAAATACTACATCTAATGTTGGACTTTACAACTTAAGCTTTTGTATGTTTTTACTTTGAAAATTAGTCCACATCTATCATATGCTTCTTTCCCCCCATTCATTCTTCCAAATCAATTTACTAGTTATATTGCAGTTATCATTAATTTTGAATACCTTTTCATTTTTGGATTAAGTATGAGAATTAAGCTAAGGATCAAAAAATTACTTTTTAGCTGTCAGGACAACTGTTAAGTGTGCTTTTGCGAACCAGTCCACTTGCTACTTTACAGAAAGTCAAGTATCTTACATTTTGCCAGGCCTGGGAATTATCTTTCAACTCTGGGTCTGGTTTTACTTTCCTTTATTCATTTGTTTGGACTCTATCATAGAGTTCATTTTAGTTTTGGCACCATTTTAAGAAAGTCTCATATATATATATATATATATATATATATATAGGTGAACCCTGAGGAATGGCACTGCTTCAGGTAAAGATTAGAAAGTAAATGTATTTTAATTTGCAACAGCTGTGTGACGAGATTAACATGGATTCAGTTTTAAAGCTGTACCTATCTATAATCAGGTAGGTTAAATCCCAAGAGTAGCATATTCTGCAAAAGAGCCCAAACATTTTGTTCTAATTCTCAAACCTTTTGACCTCATTAAATTGTGCTGTGTATCTGCAGCCTCATTCATCAGGCCTCCGGATATAGCTCATCACACCTACCTGGGCTGCTCTGAATGACTTCTGATGTCATCTGGATGAAAAATGAGTATAAGTGATGCATTCAGCAGCCACATTAAGGCCAAGTAAGAGGCTTGGGGGAAAAAGTAGGATTTGAAGAGTAGGTTTTAAGAATTTATCGAACTTTCTTTATGACTTTATAATCTAGTATTTTAAGCTACAATTGAGCTGCTTTGAGCATGCCTTAACACACATGCACAATTTTTAATGTACTGAAAGTTTCTATTTTACTAAATCTATCAAATTTTATTTTTACACACTGGATGTTTGATAGATAATGTGGCTAATGAAATTCTGAGTTGACATATTTGTAAAGAAATGCATGTTAATTTTGCAGGGAAGGCTGCCGTAGCTATCCATAGATGACAAAGATAAACGATTCTCTTTCTTATCAGCATCCATGGAATGCCAAGTTCTCAGACAGGGTAGGGGGGTGCAAGGTACAGAAGTGTGGGATGGAGGGGACATTATGAACAGGTCTTCAATTCATGCCCCAGCATGTGCATTCATATTTAAATATGGTGCAAAATCTCTTATACACTCATTATTTTAGTATGTACATTTACATAGCATGTGCATGCTTATGCCCTTGACATAGACAATAACTATATAAATGCTGTCAAATGATTGTCCACCATCAAATATTTTCACTGTGAGTCGACACAGAACATATAAATACCAAGAAATTTCACGTTTGTGTACCAAAACTTCTCCCCTGAATATTAGAAAATGTGGGGAGTAACTGAGCTTCAAAGTAGGATGTATACAAAATGCAGGAGAGCGATGTTTCCAAAATTATAATTCCAAACTGTCCCATTCATAAACCTGTAGTTTGTACCTTCTCAATCTCTCCCCTTTCAAGGATCTCCATCAATTTCCCTTTCCCTGTTTTGCATAAATTCACTTTCCCTGTCTGTGTGTCCTTTTTCACCATCCTTTACCATAAACTATAGATTAGCAATTCTATCCTACAAATACATGTGTAAACACATGTCTGTATACAACATGACCTTGAATTGAATTACTGTTCACCACTATTTCTTAGCAAAGTTGGAAAGACTTTAGAAAAAAAGAGTGGTTATATTCAGATTTCCACTTCATTCACTTCTCAACCACCTGTTGGCTTTTACTTATACCATTTTTTAAAAGATTTATTTGTCTATGCATACAAGAACTGGGGTGTAAGCCAGGGGGTAAGAGGAGTCCCCAGAGAGAGTGGGGAGCAGAACAGGCAGATCCACTAAATTACACTGCTGAGGGGAGCAGCAGACAAGGTGGACAAGGCAGCGGACAAGGCAGGAGAGATCTGCTATGCCATGTGGGTTGCTCCCTGGCCAGCCAGGGGTTGAACTAATGCTGCAGTGGCTGGAGATAGCTTGATAGAGCTGTCTTTAACCCCTGCACCACCAGGGAGGCCCTACACCATTTTATACAAGAGACCTCATGCCAGAATTACTCACAAAGTCCCTTGGTCCTGGAGATACAGCAGGAAGTTGTATCTACCTTTATGGTAGATACAGATATGTGAATATATCACGCTAGTATCTCAGAACTTAGCTTCAGCCAAGTTTGAAATTATAGAAATATAGTATCTGATACCAAGAACATCTTAATTTTTACACAGGAAAAAACTAATAGTTAACTAAAAATCATTAAACTAAGCACTGTTTAATTTTCAAAGTCACCCTGAAAAAAGTGTGTGTTCTGAAAAACAAGTCAATATATAATAACAGCAGGACTTTTGAAATTCAAAGACTTACTTTGTCTGTTTTATAAAAGTGAATGATATAACTCATTTATTATGTAGTTTAGTATGTCACAAAATGCCTTTGTTTAAAAAGCGGAGTTTCTTAATAGGTGAATAGGTAAGAACCAGTGTTTCAAAGTAATATTTCAAAGTAATAATATTTAAATTGGACAGTTTCACGATGTAAACATAGAAAAATGGTTTTAAACTAGTAAATTCTTCATTTATTCAATCACTTGAACAATTTATGAAAATAGAGGGTAAAATACAATTGCTTTCCTCATGACAAGAAACTCTTTGTATTTTAAGAAAAGAGGGGAAAAAAACACAACTTATGACATGTTCCACGATAAGTTAATGTGTTAATTTAGAATAGTTTTGGAAGAGTGAAAAAAAAAATAAAACTGCAGGTTAGATGAAAATAATTTTTAACATTTTAAATTTAAATTTGTTTAAAAATAGTGTACACCTAAAACCAAGATATAGCTTAGGCACGGATACTGATATAGAATGTGAAATTCATTACCCGTTTTTTTTTTTTTTAAAGAATCTCTTCCTTTATAGGAGATGATATATTAAACAAAAATATCCAGAGGTGATGGTTTGGATGGCATAACAATGCAAAGAAAGATGATTTATCTAAACTTACATCCACTGAAAAATTATACAAGTAGTAGAAGCTGCACTTATATAATTATACCAGAAAAATTAATATACTTAAAATTATGATTAAATTTAACCTAGCAGAAAAGTCTATTTGGGGCCTCCCTGGTGGTGCAAGGGGTTAAGTCTCAGCACTACCAAGCCACTGCAGCACAAGTTTGATCTCTGGCCAGGGAGCTAACACACATGGCACAGCAGACCTCTCCTGTCTCGCCCACTGCTCCCCTCAGCAGTGTATTTCAGCAGATCTACCTGTTCTCCTCCCCACTTTGTCTCTAGTGAAGCCTTTCACCTCCCACACATCTGGCCTATACCCCAGTTATTGTACCCATAAATAAATAAATCTTTTTTAAAAAGTCTATTTGATATAATGAAGATTATTAGAATTTTGGGATAAGTGTCTTTTATTCTATTTATAGAGGTAGTTTTTTGGTTAACATTACTTTGTCATATTTGAGATCTTTAGAATATGATAGATTATTTGCAATATTGACATGAGCAGTATATCCCTTACTCAAAGTTACATTCGGTAAGTATGAATTTCTCCTATAGCAGAATCATGTTTCCAACCTTTGTTAGCTTCAATCTATTATTTTTCTATTGAGAACTATCTCCAAATTTGCACTCTTTGCTGATGTCTAAAGTTTAGCATTAAATAAGACACTGGCCCATTCTTGTAGGACACTACAATGTGGACAGGGGATTGAGGGAAGACGCCACGCCTTTACATCATAAAGGCCATTAGGCCTCCACACAGTGCAGTATGGGAGCAGTGGGAAGGGAAGAACATACACACATCTGAAGGGGTAAGGAAGCACCTTCAAGTATTTTAAACTGCTCCAAAAATTCTCATCAATATGGATCCCATTATTCAGAAATTTTGTCTATAACAAATCAACTATTTAAATTTTTTTTCTAATCTTTTTTTAGGAAATTAGGTTGGGAATCATTGTTCATAGCAAATGTGGAGACTAGATTAGTCTGAACTGAAAAACTTTAATGTTCTGTATTTTCCCAATATCCTCTGGTTTCTCTTCCTATAACATTTTCTTACCTTGAAGTTATGCATACTAAAATAGGATTCTAAAGGTCTGAATCATTTTATTAATGTTAGTCATAAGGTAATAGGAATCTTATTAAAATATATTTAATGACTAATTCAGACATTGATATGTACTGTATGATGCATACCAATACACTAGTATTTATAATTTCCCCCTTACCATCCCCCAATACAGCCTTTAAAAACCACCCACACTAATATTAAAATGACAATACTATAAAATTACACTTACTTTTTTGTCTTTGTTGTATTTGTTAAATATCTCTTGGGCTCTCTCTTCTCCTCCATCCGTGAACAACATGATGATCTTATTGCAGTTGGCTCTGGAAACATTATACTGTTAAAAAAAAAAAAAAGTGTATCATTTAAAACAAAAGGAATATAATACAATATGTAAGACCATGAACAGACTGATCAATACGTATATCACAAGAACCCATTCTTGGAATAATCCAGGCCCACCATATAGCTCCCCCAGCCCCAAACATTCACAGATCTCACTTCCTCTGGGTCTTTCATTAAATGTTACTTTACCAGTAAGAACTTTTTGACACCATGTTTTAAATTCCAGTCTCCCTCCCAAGTTGTTCAGAAGAGCACCCTGTGCTTAATAACCTCTCAGTAATTGATTTATACATTGTCTTTAAATGAATTAATGTTCATTATATCAATTTTATGTTCCTATAGTTCTTAGAAACCAAAAAATATTAATTAAAAAAGAACAGCTTTTTACATGTATTTCTAATCCATTTACAAACATTAGTTTCTTACTTCCTTTTTCATTCCTAATAGCCAATGCTCTTACCTATCTCTGTAAATAATAATGTCTATTTCCACAGCATCTTCCTATTCTCTCTCAATCTGTCACACATATTTTAACCCAGAAAGACTCAGTTTCAATGTAAATCCTCTCATAGAGTTTATTTAAATTTCCAAAAAATCATTGGACATAGAGCCAATCATAGATTAGCACCCAAGTACTAGTAAACTGAATAATTTAAATGCTGGACTTCATTGGGATCTAAAATTATAATCTCAGCCCTTTCTACTGTTACGTTTGTGAAAGTGTTGAGAATTAAAAAAAAAAAAAATCACACTAATCACTGAAAGCTTAGTTTCTTTGAAATTGTCAACCATCTCGCTCAGGTTGCTCAATGGAGAGAAAATGAACTTAATGATTGTAAACTTTGTAACAGTCATATTAAAGAAAGAAGAAATCCCTAAAATCAATTCTAATGACATTTTATTTAGTCATCTGATACAGTCATCTGATATATTACTTCAACATGAACTCAATATAAATTACTGAGATTATATATTTTTTTCTTTCACAATAAGTCTTAGCTTTGGATGTGTATTTTATAACTTCATGACATTCAATTCAGACCAGACATATTTCCAGTGCTCAACAATCCCAAGTGATTGTGATTATCAGATTGAACACCATAGCCCCAGCCTTTAAATGACTAGTGTTTTTTTTTTTTTTTTTTCACATCATAGTTTCCTGTTGTGTTTGAGCTAAACTGCAGGTCTGTGCTCTAACTTTCAAGGAAGTTATATTTCAAGGAAGATAAACCCCATTACCTGTTGTAAAGGTAAACAAAGACAGCACTTTGCTTTACTAATAAAAGTTCTGTTTCAAATCACCTCACCCCATTGCTTAGGCCATTTGAACATTAGCCATTCAAGTTTTTAACCAAGCATCGTGAAAGCATAGTATTGACTAAAATAATTTGTAACATTTAAGTATGGTTCTTATCTTTCAAGGTAATTATCTGAAAATATGACAAAGTCACATATATTATTATCAAGATATTTTTGTGAAAGGTATTTAAATCCCTTAACTACAATTAATTTCTCTGCTGATTTGTCTTTCATTTACATCTATAAAACAGGCAAAACAATATTTGCCTAAAGGACTGTTTCATAAAAGTGATAAAATAGATTTTTACAACAGAACATGGCTTTGTTTTTTGAAGTAGTGGAGAGACTATTATTCATGAATGCAAATATGAGTGGATGTTAGCACACTGGGTCCTGTTGATCATTTGTATAAATTAAAAAAATAACCTTTCTCAGGAAAACTAAATAGCAGGACACACACAAAAGAGATAAAATGGTTTCTCTCAACATGATTTTTCCTGGGAGTAGCTTTCTCAGGACATGCAGCAGAGTTAGAATGTAACAGAAAATTTCAGAGGATTGGCAATTCTCTAAAGAGTCACAACAATTACACACAACTGGGCTATAGCCATTTAAGTAACGTAGGAGAACTTGATCACTTCAATAAAATCACAATGGAAAGAGTTGGCCATTTCCTGTAATAACCATTCATCTTCCACTTTGTCGGATCCCTGAGTGGCTGGTACATAGTACAGCCCCCAGCATATATGCACTCGATTCAACATAGTTTTTGAAAAGTGCACTTCAGTATATTTGGTAATATTTTATGAAATGCTATATGAAAACTAATTCAAATCACAATTTAGGGTTTACTGTAGGATAAATCAAAACTCTAATTCTATTTGATAGTTACATTAAGTTATCTTGAAGGTATACCTTGCAAGGACAAAAAAAACAGGGAATGGCAAGATAGGAAGACAAAGTGTTTGATATAAAATTATGCTTCATCCATGACATTGGGAAAATTGTTTTAAAATGAAGAAATGCAGGACACAAAGGACACACGGAAAGAAAATATGTGAGACTTGCTTCAGGAATAGCTGAGAACATAATGGAAACAATTTACAACTGTGGTAAAGGCAGTTTGAGAGGCCAGAAGGAGTTAAAGCCCATTTTATCAGCAACTATTAATAAATCTCTCTTGATGAGAGTCTCTGAAATAGTGCAGTAGACTGGAGACCACTTATTAGTTTGCAATTGAAACCTGAATGGGGGGAATGAAGTGAGGCAAATTAATAATACTAAGGAGAATAACTGAAATACCAAGTTCTAGAAAACTTGATTGTTGACTCAGAGAAACAAAGTTTTTAGAAAAGCATATTCTTTCACTAGAGAAAGAATCTCTCAAACTGATAGTCAATTACATTTAAAATTTAAAGTTTTGAATGAACATTGTTTTACTAATTAACACACATCATTTAATACACCTGGACATGGACCAAAGATAATTTCCTGTAAAATATGCAGTGCTCAACTACTTTTCTTCTTCCTTATTTATCTAACAGTATCTATTAAATATTACCTCTTCAAACTCAACGCAACTGAACCTGAGCTCTTTCTAGCCTCACATTCTGTCTCTCTAGATCCTGTGCCACCATCCATTCCAGTCAGAGAACTTGTAGTTATCAAATCCTTCCATTACCACGTACCTGTACATCTCTCTTCATTCAATCCCATACCAGGGTTTCTGCACTAACTTCTTAACTCAGGTCACTTATTAGATCCTTTGATTCTCATATTACAAATTTTGCTCCCAAACCCATCATGATCTGATACCTTTCCATTCCCCGTATTGCTACGTCATAGCTATGCCCGGCCACCTGCAAATCTTTCAGTGTGCTCCATCATCATCTTGTGCTCTGCCTCTGTTGATACTGCATTTTTATCTGAATTGATTTCCCCTCTCTCATCAATCTACTTGGATCCTACTCATTCTTCAAAGTGCTGTTTTCAAGGAAATGCCTACTTCCTGACCTTCTTGGGCTAAGCTGGTCCCCTTCTTTGTTCTGCTCCTGCCTACTTTCTCATTGCCTGTGGCTGCATCAACACGCTGTTCAGAGAATGACACCTGAGTGTGCTAAGCTGGACCTTCTTGGGAGCAGATGATCTTATGTGCTTTTGTTATTCTAGCACTCGGACCATGACTGGATATCGTAGGTTCTCAACAAATACTGACTGAATGAACAAATGAATGAATGAATCAATCAGCTGTTTAAAAAATTGATTAGAAGATTCACTTAGGGAAGAACAAAGTCAGATTTGAAGAAAGGAGCACCGGCTTCTCAAATAGCTCAGCAAATATGACAGGGATGTGAGCTAACTGTACCAGATATGAGTTGGTATAGTTGGTATAGCCAGTTACAGTGAAAATAACCCTTGATTCCCACCAGCCCAACACAGTACACTGGCATGCTGTTTGCTTTGTGTCAGGTTCTGTGGATAATCCTTTTATGACCCTCTGATATACTGGCCAACGTGACAGCCCCACTCCACTGTGTAAGTGTGGAAACCACGGTACAGAGAGGTCAGGTCTGCACTCTCACCATTGTGATGATGTTGGCACTTCGGGAATAGTTCATTGCCCTCTCAATCAGTTCAAAATGAAATAGACACATGGTCATTTGAAAATACTAGGCTACCATGTGTGATATGTGCTATAATATAGCAGTCAGTAGGCATGCCAAAGTCTGACAATGTAATTGCAGACAAAAATGAAAGATTTAATCAGGGGAAATTTTATTGAGGAAGGAATTCCTGGGTAGGAACTTATTTTCCTGATCATCTTAATGTCTACAATTTGGACCTTTCTGTACATTTAGCAACAAATGAAAGGTATAATTTCATCAAAAAGATGAGTAACAACATATCCAGAAGCCATTTGATGACTGAAAGCACAAGTTTCCTGATAAATACTATAGCAATTGAGATAGAAAAAAAAATGATATTCTAAATATGCCAACTAAGTTTCAGGTGTTTGTTAAAAGCATTTAATTTTGGGCCTCTTTGATGGTGCAAGAGGCTGTCTCAGCACTATGAAGCTATCAGCAGCCACTGTAACACGAGTTCAATGCCCAGACAGACAGCTAACTCCCTGTCTCGCCCACTGCTCCCCTTAGCAGTTTATTTCAGTCAATTCACCTGTTCTGCTCCCCACTCTGTCTCTGGTGAATCCTCTCACTCCGCCTTGCCTGCATCTCTGGCCTACACCCCAGCTCTTCTATGCATAAATAATCTTGAAAAAAAATAAAATAATTAATTTTTTAAATTTTTTAATAATTTTATTTGTTAATTTTTTTAATAACTATTATTTGAATAATTTCCTTACAAATGTTTTCGGAAAGAGTTTGAAAAAAAAATTATGATATCTAAGAGAAAAAGAAAATATAGTTGTATAACTTGATTTTGGGGTTTAAAATTAAAAAATAGTTCAAAGATTTCTAATGTCTGGATATATCTGCTTTCTGGATCTATGAAAAACACACTTATCTAACCCTAAATAGCAATACAAATCAGGATATTGAAATTCCGATTCTACCATTCAACAATAAGAAAGAAAAGGGATAGTACTGATACTTACATTAAGCAGCTGTTCAAAAGCAAAACTAAAACCCTTCTTATAATCTGTGATTCCTTTTGCTGTGATATTATTCACGGCATCTTTCAGCACTTTCTTATTTCTTACATTTGCTTGGACAAGGTGCTGAAAACAGCTTACATCTTGGGCATTGCTGTTAAACTGCAAAAAAAGAAAAAAAAGAATTAAATATGTTAGTGAAAATTAAAATCAATCATGTGATTTTTGTTAAATATGTGTCTTATGGTTCTTAATTTCATTGCATTTCTTTAACTTTGAAAAAGAAAAGTGAGTAGACTGGTAACAAAAGTACCCTAAGAATCAAATACTAATTTTTAGGTAAATCCTCAACTCATACTGTAATCCTGTGATTGTCTCTTACCTTCCTAAAGCTTGTTTTTCCTGATTACAAATTTGGCACTTGAGTTATTTGCAATCCCTTCCAGCTCTCAAATTGTATGAGCATTTAGGCCAAAAGAAACCAACCAACCAACCAAAATCCATAAGCAAACACCAGTGAAATATTTCCGAATCCAGAAATGATGACAGATGGAGTAAAAATGAGGATTTCACCAGTCTCTCATATGGAAAAGTCAGGAGCAAAAATGGCCTTCTGAACAGGAAGAATAGAGGTTTTTGTAACCTCGAAATTGGATAAGAGATCTTTTCTATGGTTTTGAAGTAGGGATACAATCTGAGGGAATCAAGTGGCTTCCTAGGATCATCACTCAGAGGTTCTATAAAGAACATAGTGGAGTCATGAAGACAAGGTGAAGGGGACACATCATTGTAGAAAGACATTGCTGTGATGAGGTCCTAGGCAATAAAAAGCAAAAACAAGAGGGAAAAAAAAACTCTAACAATACCTGCCCCAAATCAAAAAGTTAAGAATAATCACCAAAGGAATTTCACCAATCCTGTAAGAAGTATTCACAGTTTATTGGATATTTCCAAAAAGGATAAGCACAACTAGGGTAGTATAAGATGATCCAGGACACTAAGCTGAGTGGGATCATACCATTATTTATTAACTGTGTTAGAAGTCTCTTACGTTCTTGGTCTACACTGTCCTATCTATAAAATGAGAATAATGATAAAAACACACTTGCTAGAAGGTAGCATACTAGCCATGTGAGATGTTTAAGATAGTTCTCCATCAAAAACATATAATTATTTAGATACGTGGATCACAAGCCAAAATACAATTTTTATAGGTGATTATATATTTTATAAATATAATACTTATTATTTGTCCTTGAAAATCACTGAAATAAAATTATAGATTGTATAATTCATCAATCCATTAAACAAATATTTCCTCCAAGCAGGTTATATGCCAATAATTGTGACAGGTGCTAGTTTTGTGCCTTCAGATGCAAATTATATCGGATGCACAAATATGGACAGAGCTCACATATATATGTGAACATTTTAATTGTGTTTACTATTAATACATGTTGAACTTCCTATAATAATCTACAAATATTAATCATTCCTCTTTGCAAATGCCCTACAAAAAAATGTTTTTTCATTTTATCAACAGGAAATATAAGCATAGATAGGTTAAAAAAAATATCCAGATTCACATAACAAACAAGAGTCAAGGCCTCCCTGGTGGCTCAGCGGTTGAGCACTGGGTTGCGAAGCTGCCTGCAGCCTCTGCAGCGCCGGTTCGATCCCCGACCGCCGGGGAGGGTCCCACATGGCGCGCAGACCTCTCCTGCCACCCGCTGCTCCCCTCAGCAGTGTATTTCGTTAATCTGCCTGTTCTGCTCCCCGCTCTGGCTCTGGTGAATTCTTTCACCCTCCTGCGCTTCTGACTGTACCCAGTGCTTGTATAAATAAATAAAATCTTAAAATAAAAAGTCAGGATGCAAACCAACACCATAGCAGAATAGTCTATGATTTTAACTATCCCCACATTGCCTCTCAATATATTACCATAAATTATAATAAATTCTATAAGGAAATATAATACTACCCTCCGGGAGACAGTAACAGGGAAGGGGCACCCAATTTCGATTATTGACTAGTTGGGGAAAGGATACCCCAAGAAATGTCATTCCTATGGCTTCAGAGAAATGTTTCACTGAAGAACATGGAGGAAAAACATTCCGGTCAAATAGAACAATGTGTACAAAGGCCCTGATGGAGCAGGGCGATGCCCTCAGGGAAGAAGAGTTTAGTTGTCAAGTACGAGGACAAATATCAGGGAGGGAGGCAGGGTCTAGATCATGTGCCCCATGCAAAATAATTAGGTTTTCATTCTGTTAAATGGAAAGTCACAGAAAGATTTTAAGTCCAATACAAAATAATTTGCATTTACTCAGGCTGCTGCTTAAGAAATGGAACTAAAATAAGCAAAATTTAAATGTAGGAGACTAAAAATTAGGAAGTTACTACAGTAACTTAAGCATATAGTGTCTTTAGATGTTGAGATGGTCAAAAAAGGCAGAACTGAAGATGTGTATTGGAGAAACAGTCACTAGGATGTGGTGTGGGACAGGCACCAGCTTTCTGACATGGGCACGGCAATGGCCACAGGGCCAGAGGTGTGGCGGGACCAGCGATACTTGAGAAATAGAGACAGAAGCACAAATTCAAATGAAGGTCACTTTCAATAGACATGAGACTGCAAATGGCCACATCAAGAAGCCATAACACTTACAGCATGAGGCTCAAAAGAAGTCCTGGCTAAAGATTAAAAAAAAAAACAAAACTAAAAATACTTCAGTATAGAAATTTGACCTAACACCATGTGAAAGAAAGTGAAGTAGAGGAGTCGCCCCGAGGAACTAAGATCCTAAGGTGGTAGGAAGGGAATCAGTAGATTGAACTGTCTTGGATGATGAGAGGAGGCAAAAAAAAAGTCAAAAGTCAAAGTCTCAAGGAGACAACACTGTGGTTCAGAGACAGAACAGGAGTCCATCGCAGGCATCCTTGCAATACAGGCAGTGTCTGTGGGGGCAGACCCCAGGGGACATATGGACCAGCAGATAGGAAATGCTCCCATGTACACAGCACCTTGACTGGGAAGGAAAGCAGAAAAAAAGGGGTAGACTTGGGAACAAGAACAATCTTGTTTAAAGTGAAAATCATTAGAACCAGATAGGAGTGATACTGAAGAAAGAGGAAGAAAAATCAGAGGAATAGTTTTTGTGACTCGTGGGGATGGATGCGATCCAATGGCAGGAAGAGCAGCAGCAACAATGTCCTAACTTCATTTTTCTAAAAAAGGGACAGCAGGAGCAGAGAACAGATTCTAGGGCACAGATTTGGTGCTGAGAAGACAACAGCTACTGTCTGGCCTTCTCCCCAGTGAACAGTGAGTCCAGTGACTGGGACACAGCAAGTGGGAGGTGGGAGATTTAGACAGTGGAAAGAAAGGAAAAGGGTGATCTGCATAGATAAGTAACTTGAGTTCCTTCTCCTGTGTACTTTGTACGCTGCTTTAAAAAACATCAGATATGAAGATAAAACTCCAATACACTTGTTTAGTATAAATTCAAATACTGAAAATTCAGTATCTTCAGATCCAATCCATTCTTTCATCACACTACTGTTCTTTGATGATTTGACATAATCTTACACTGCATGTTGCATTTTGAGGGGGAAAAATGTAAGAATTTCATGCTAGTAAGCATATAAATAAAGCTTGGCTATATATTAATAACATACCTGACTTTAGAGAATTATTAGAAATGTTTATAGGGAATGACATTAAGTAATTAAAGTATGAGTCATGATAAAATTATAATTTATGAAGAAAATGAACACTGAATTATGTATTACCCTGCATCTTTTGGTTGCCCTTGACTGGCTTTTAACTCAAAAAAAGTGAAGCATCTTATTAAGCCACTTTTACACAAACCAATTAAATATAAATTTGATTCATTAAATACAAATTCAGTGGTGTATAAGAGGAATAGTACAATTACACACATAATAAATCTCATAAATAATGTAGAGAAAGAAATAGCTTAGAGTTTAAGTCTCTATAGCAAATTTTATTCTCCTAGGAAAGTGATAAATATATAACATTCTAAGATAAACATATATTCCACAACATCTTAAACGCATTTGCTTTCAGAATAGAAAAAAACAAAACAAAACAAAACATACCCACAGAGCAGGGCCTCCTTGGTGGCCTAGGAATTAAGTCTTAGTTCGATGGCCCCAAAGGCCTGACTTCTACCCCAGGTCAGGGAGCTAACCCACATATGGCACAGCAGACCTCTCCTGCCTCGCCCACTGCTCCCCTCAGTAGTGTATTTCAGTCAATCTGCCTGTTTTGCTCCACACTCTGTCTCTGGTGAATCCAGTCACCACCTCTGGCCTACAAACCACTTCTAATAAAAAAAAAAAAAAAAAAAGGAAAAAAACACACAGCGAAAGTTTAATATTATAAAGCTTTACAGTAGTACATGGTAAATAAAAGTATGTTTAAGGAGCCTTGCTTTTATGCAAATCTATTAAGAAAATACTAAATGCTCCCCCCCAAAAAAATACTGGAACAAGAAGATGTGGTACATATATACAATGGACTATTACTCAGCAATCAAAGATAAACTCATGCAATTTGCAGCAACATGGATGGAGCTAGAAGGGATCATGCTCAGCGAAATAAGCAAGAAAGAAAAAGAAAAATACTGGATGGTCTCACTCATAGCAGGAATTTAGAAAACCTAAATAATGGACCAGAAAAAAGACATAATAAAGTAAAAATCAAAATTAACAAGAAACTATAAACCAGAGACACACTACGGGGGTGGGGATTAGGGTCAAAATAAGGGAGCTGGGAATTGTACGGGGAATATAACTTAGATGAAAATGCATACATTGTGCAAAACTGAAAAATTATGTAAAAAATATATAAAATTAAATTTAAAAAGAAAATACTTCTTGTAAAATATATGTATTTTATTAACTCTGCATTGTCAGAAATTCATAGTAACATCACTATGATACCTTTCTGGATCACAGAAAATTCAACCAATTGGATCCCTGATTAAAAGTGCTGAGAAAAATCTCTGCAGGTGAATGTGGGGTAGAAATCATGAAGGATTTTGTATTTATACTCTAGAATTTGGACATTATTTCATTTCTTCCTTCTACACACGCTATGGTTTCTACCTACCACACTTCCCGCCCCTCTTTCTTCA